TGGCTTGTACACCCTTTACCTCTCTTTCAGCATGTTCCCTGAGCCGTAGGTGCCAGAGCTGTGATGTAGATGTACCCTTTAGAGCTGGGCTCCCCTGAAATGCTGACCTCTGTGTTGGATCCTGGTGTGTTTGCATTTGCTGTAAGGGGAGGCTTCTTTGAGGGATGGTATCTACATGTAACCAGGAATGGTGGCTTGCGCACAAAGAGCGTTCACAAGTCATGGGTCTGGAACTCGGCTTGTGGGTTTGATTGCTAATTCTTAAAGCAGCAAGTTTTATTTTTATCTTCACATTTAAAATACAACAGAGGGGGAAATGTTAGCATACTTATAACAGGAGCTTCCTTTTCATCAAAATGTCAAAACATACTCAGACTGGATAGAGAGTTTTTTTTATGGTAGGGAGAATGACATCAGAATTTTCACATTTTCTGCACCAGGAAACTCCTTCATGAATATGCCCTTATCAGCACATGTGTGTGTATATATATCTGTCTGGTATGTGTATCTATACATAGTCTATTAGGTGTTAGCAATAGGCTATTTCAGGTGATGGGATTTTATATGGTTTTTATTTTCCAACAATTGCCTGTATTCTGCAGCGAATGTTTGATTACTATCTTAACTGACATAAAGGATGTTTTTTCCATTCTTTTTTTTTTTTTTTGGTTTTTCGAGACAGGGTTTCTCTGTGTAGCTTTGCGCCTTTCCTGGGACTCACTTGGTAGCCCAGGCTGGCCTCGAACTCACAGAGATCCGCCTGCCTCTGCCTCCCGAGTGCTGGGATTAAAGGCGTGCGCCACCACCGCCCGGCTCTCTTTTTTCCATTCTTACAATCTGCTGGTAAAGGGCAGTGGGTTTTCATTTTTAACTGTTTTAGAGATAGCCGTTACCTTGCTTTTCGCTTAGCCCTTGCAGTTTACTAGCTGAGACATGCAGGTCTACAGATGAACAGTTAGAGATGCATTAAAGTTCACCAGAAGGGCTCCCTTCCCTCCTGGAGCCTGTTTGCTGGTGTTTTACCTCAAATCAATGAATTACGTTCTTGTAGGCCCCAATGTCTCTATTTATAAACTAAAGTTATGGTGTTTCATGGAGCTGTAACGTGTGAGAGGAAAGTGTGAAAGGCCTGCGTGTGAGAGCTGAGGCCTTGAGATTGCTGGAGGAAAATATAAGAAAAGCACTTCAGGGTGGAGGCATGACAAGGACTTTCTGAGAAGACATTGCACGGTGACGAGCCCAAGAATTGGCATATGGGATTAAATGAAATTAAACACTTTATCATAGCAAAGAAATCAACCACCAGAGTGAGGGGACAGCTTGCAGAAGGGGAAATAAATAAATGCCAACTAGGTCTCAATAGGGGACTAATATCTAGAATATATACAGAACTGAAAAGATTAATAATCCCCTAAATACAGATCATCCAATCAATAAGTAGATTTATGAACTGAATTGATAGTTCTCCAAAGAGGAACTACAAGAACCACTAAGTATTTGAAAAGGTGTGTAATATCCTTAATTGACAGGGAAATGAAATTCGAACTCTTCATCTTCCATCTCACCCAAGTCAGAATGGCTGTCATCAAGAAAACACATGAGAGAAACGCTGGCAAGATGCGGGGAAGAGGAAACCCTACACACCGCTACTGGGAGAGTGGTGTGACCAAGTGGACTCAGGTCAAAGAACTGAAATAGTAGTATTACGTGAGGGCCTAGCATCCTGGGTCTAGACCTGAAGTCAGCACACCACAGAAACACTCGCACATTTGTGTATACTGCCTCACTATTAACAATAGCCAAGAAGTGGAAGCAGCCTCGTTATCCATCTCTAGATGAACTGACAAAGTGTGGTACATGTACACCAGGGCAGCTTGTTCAGCTATAAAGGCAGATGAAACCACATTTACAGGAAAAGGAACACATGTAGCTAGAGTTTTCCTGCTTTGCCCACAGTCAGGACAAATCTTTGTCACCCGCCAGTCCCACAGCCGCTCAGACCCAACCAAGTAAACACAGAGACTTATATTGCATACAAACTGTATGGCCGTGGCAGGCTTCTTGCTAACTGTTCTTATAGCTTAAATTAGTCCATTTCCATAAATCTATACCTTGCCACGTGGCTGGTGGCTTACCGGTGTCTTCACATGCTGCTGGTCATGGCTGCAGCTGGCAGTGTCTCTCCGCCTCAGCCTTCTGCTTCCCAGAATTCTCCTCTCTCCTTGTCCCACCTACTTCCTGCCTGGCCACTGGCCATTCAGTGTTTTATTTATTGACCAATCAGAGCAACAGATTTGATATACAGACCATCCCACAGCAAACACAACTAGATTTATTTGTGTTAAGTAAAATAAGACACTCAGACAAATACCACATTCTCTTTCATGCATGCGTGTATGCGTGCATGCCTGTGTAATAAAAGTAGAAAAGGAACCCTGAGAGGGAGGAAGAGGTCCTTAGAAAGGGGAATTGGGTGGGAGCAGAGGCAGGTTGACTATGTAACATGAAAGCACAAATGGAGACCTAATTGGGGGAAACGGGACCAGCCAGAGGGAGGCAGGAAGAAAAGGAGAGTTGTGAAGGAGATGAATTAGAACAAAAGGCTGGATGTGCCCCAGCTGGTAGAGAGGAGGCAGAAGCAGGAGGATCACAAGTTCAAGGTTATCCTTGGCTGCATAGTGAGTTTGAGGGCAGCCTGGGATACATGATGCTCTGCCTCAGAGGACAGAACAAGGCCAGTGAGATGGGTCAGCTGGTAAAGGCACTTGCCGATACCTAGGATCTACGTGGTGAAAGACGCATGATGACATATGTGTGTATGTATGTGTATGAAAATGCTGTAATGCAACCCAGCGCTTCTGGCATGTGGTAAACATGCCATAAATACTAGTTTGTATTCTCTTTTAAATCTGGTCATATTGGGACTCTGCCCTTTTTGGACTTATCATAAGATAATTGTGCATAACACAGTGTTATGAAATGAAGAGTAAATCTAATGCCAACAAGACAGTGATGTTAAATCACACATTGCCTGTCCACAGACACTCCAGCCTGGTTATGTTGGCTCTTGTGCCCTTCATATGTTACTGACCTGTCTCGACAGACCAGTGTGTTCTGCAGTATGGTTACCTAAGTAGGTTCTAGATGACTCTTTGGACTATTTTAATGTATTTATGAACTAAAAATACAACAAGCATATGGATGGGGATCTTTTAGGAATAAGTAAAAATGACTCCTAAAGGAAAGTCAACTTAATCAAGAATGTCAAGAATATTATAAAGTATGGCAAAATATGGCAAAAAAGATATTGAAGGGCAGGATTGGGACTTAAAAGAGGGACAGGAATAAACAAAATTGACAAGCCGGGTGGTGGTGGCGCACGCCTTTAATCCCAGCACTCGGGAGGCAGACTTTGCCTTAAAGGAATAAGGTACCCAACATCCTCCTCTGGCCTCTGCTCTCACATGCAAGCACACACACATGCACATACACGCCCCCCTCCCAACACACACTGCATTTACATAGAGACAAATAAATCAAGTAAAAACAAGGATGCTCATCAACTACTCTCCCTGTCTTTTCATCCATATGCAAGTAACTGTGACCTGTATTTTCAAATTATTTGAAGACCTTAGATGAAGTTTATAGACAAAAAATAAGAACAAAAGGCTAATTTTTGTGTCACAGATATATGTATCTACAGCAAATATTCTTTAGTGCTGCTCCTGGGAGCTGCAGACCTTTCTTCCTCCTATGCCAAACTTACTGAGGTACACTTAAAAGCTTATAAGGCACACGTGTTCTGTTTTGTATTTTAAATGATTGTTTTCCTTTATTTAGTTGTTGTTACTAAAAGGACATGAAGACATAAGTATTCCGATTCTCAAACATTTTAGTAAGTGGTGTTCAAGCATAGTTTATAGTAACCCATTGCATTTGTATGCATCTTGGGGTCTTTGGAAGTGCCTTAGTAGGTAAAATGCCTGCCACATAAGCCATGAGGACCTAAGTTTGGCTCCCCAGCAATCGAGTGAAAACCCAGTTGTGGTAGCGCACATCTATCTGCAATCCCAGTTCTGAGAAGACAGATCCACGGAATCCCTGGTCAGCCAGCCTTGCCCAATAAATAAGCTCAGACCAAATGAGAGACAAAATAAACAGACGAACAGAAGGTGGTGGGGAGTGGTAGAGAAAGACAACCGATAATGGATTATGGCCTCCCCCAAACGTGCTACCTTGATCATGGCTTATGATCTTTCTGGTTCCATGCATTTACTCAGGACCTCCCTGTGTTCATCAGGGAAATTTGCCTGTAGCTTTCCTCCACATTTTTCTTTACTTTCTGTTTTCCTACATCTGTCCCGCCACCTGTTCACTTCAGCTGTGGACATAGGTAAGGACAAGAGACTTCAGAGCAAAACATTCCAAACCTGAAGTTTCACCTGGCCTGCCTTATCTGAGCCTCACCAGTCTTTTTCTCTTGACCCTACATTCCCGTGAGGTAGTGAACCAGATGGGTCACAGAATCCAAATCCACAGAATCTTCCCAGTGTGCTGTGGGAACAGAGTGCAGCCCTGTGTGCAATGGGAAGAGAGAGGCAGCGATGTCTTGTGGTCTCTTACATACGTAATAAGGGTTGTGGATTAACTCCCTCGGGCGGTCACAGCAGCTGTTGACTCCTGTAATATATACACTGTGAGTTTTAGGAGTCGGACACTTCATTAGTATCTTTATTAGTTATTAGTTTCCTGCAGGACTAATTGGTTGTTCTCTTTAAATAGAATCTAGATTTGTTCTATAAAAATTAATTTCGCATACAGTGCTAGAAAGTTTTTGCAGCAGTTTAGGAACTGCCTTCTGCACCGTATAACTGTAAGCCAAATTTATTCTTTTTCCTGATAATTTAATAATTTTGGATATAAAGTAAAAATCCCAAGCGAAGATAGAACATGTCATGGTGTAGTGTAGGCTCATGTCAAATGTTCATTTGATCTTACAGGACAGACTATTCGAGAGAAAAGAATTATAGAAGCAGCAAACAGAAAAGAGCTAGACTATGAAGCAGGAGACATCCCAACAGAGTGGGAAGGTAAGTGTTCCCCTCCAGTAGGAGGTTCAGTGATCTATCAAATTAGTTAGAGAACCTAGAATTACTTCTCCATGGAAACACTTCACAACTTTGTTTCTGGAACGTTGCATTTATTTGAAATTTGTGAAGGTAGCAGAATTTTAGTAAGGGAGTGCTTGTGTGGCACCGAGCTGTACAGCTCCATCAGGACTGGGGTAAGGGTGAGGCAGGCAGACCAAGCTCCTGCATGTCAGAGTCAAGGGCTGTCTATGCTCATACCTTGCCCTTGCACCTGCACAGCCCCAGACTAGCGTTCTTTTCCAGCAGTCACTAACTCCTCAACTTGGGAAAGTAACGTATTCTGGGTCTTCATTTTCTCCTTTATAACCTGTGGAGAACACTTACATTAGGTGATGTTTTGGAGTATTTATCTAACTCACAAGGACCCTGCTAACTGACTTCGTCTTAAATGAAGGATAGGTAACTGACCCCTATCTGAAGACAGAAGTTGAAATGGAAAGCTACATATAGTAGCTCTTGCTTGTGATTCCAGCAGGGGAATTGCCTGAACCTCGAGGCCAGCTTGGGCTGCATAGTAAATTTCAGGCCAGTCTGAGCTATAGTATGAGACCCCGTCTCAAAAACAACCTTTTTTTCTATAAAAGATCATGGGGACCTGAGGTGCCACATAAAAAGCTGAGTGCAGCTGCATGTGCACCTGTAACTCCTGCACCTGCAGCACCTGCACCTGTAACTCCTGCACCTGCAGTACCTGCACCTGCAACTCCTGCACCTGCAACTCCTGCACCTGTTATTCCTGCACCTGTAACTCCTGCACCTGTTATTCCTGCACCTGTAACTCCTGCACCTGTTATTCCTGCACCTATAACTCCTGAACCTGCAACTCCTGCACCTGTAACTCCTGTACCTGCAACTCCTGCACCTGTTATTCCTGCACCTATAACTCCTGCACCTGTTATTCCTGCACCTGTAACTCCTGCACCTATAACTCCTGCACCTGCAACTCCTGGAACTGCAATTCCTGCACCTGCAACTCCTGCACCTGTAGCTCCTGTACCTGTAACTCCTGTACCTGCAACTCCTGCACCTGTTATTCCTGCACCTGTAACTCCTGCACCTGCAACTCCTGTACCTGTTATTCCTGCACTTGTAACTCCTGCACCTGCAACTCCTGCACCTGTAACTTCTGCACCTGCAACTCCTGCACCTGTAACTCTTGCACCTGTAACTCTTGCACCTGTAACTCTTGCACCTGTAACTCCTGCACCTGCAGCACCTGCACCTGTAACTCCTGCCCCTGTAACTCCTGCACCTGTAACTCCTGCCCCTGTAACTCTTGCACCTGTAACTCCTGCCCCTGTAACTCCTGCACCTGTAACTCCTGCACCTGTAACTCCTGCCCCTGTAACTCCTGCACCTGTAACTCCTGCACCTGCAGCACCTGCAGTGCTGTCTGGAGTGGAGACAAGAGGCTCACTGGAGTCTGCTGCCTGGTAGGTAGCTCCAGACTCAGTGAGGAACTCTAAGAGAATAAAGCAGAGAGTAATAGAATACCCAGTGTCCTCCTCTGGCCTGTGTAAGTACACACATGCTGGTGTGCATGTGTGTGTGTGTGTGTGTGTGTGTGTGCATGCGCGCGCACATTCATGTGCACAGACACACACACACAAACACTAAACATAAAAGACTTGACTGAAATACCAATATCTATCTTCTACTTTGCTTAACACTTGCCAAGTAGTATATATATACCTGTGGTAGACTCTTCCCCTATAGTCATTGTCTTGTTTGATCATAACAACAGTCCTGTAATTCAGACACTATATTTATTCATGTTTAATCTATAGAGCATCTAAGGTCCGGTAAGTTTGGTCAGTTGCTGGGATTATGCAACTTGGTACATATAGAGCCCTTGCTTCTTGGTGGTCAGAACATGATAGCTTCCATGTGGTAGCCATAAGCATTATGTTCCACTTATGGTAGCATGGTCCTGTAAATACCATTTCATGATACCCATTTCTGCTTACTGACTATTAGAACAGTAGGACTGTGAGAAAAGAGCTACCTATGGGTAGATAACAGAGCTTGAAATGCAGGCTCTAGGTTGGCAACTTCTAGAAGGAACAATTGAGCTTTATTTTCCCAGATTGTCTACATTTGCAAATCTCGGGTAATACTTGTGCCTTCTTTATGAGCCTGTTTTGTCATTTTCCCAATAATAGTATAGAATTAAAATGTTTCTAGAAATAAATTAAGTTATAAATAAACAAATAGGTAATGGCTAATTTTTCAGCTTTTGAGACTTTCCGAGAATTGGAATGAAGTTTTAATGCTTTTTATGACTCTGTCCTGATTTGGTAATTTAGCATACTATCCCCATGGGGCATATTCTTAAAAATTATGAATCAGCCAAATACTGAAACACAAACACTTTTACAGTGGCACACATCAATTAAGGATAAAAAATAAGCACTTTGTGCCATGAAAATATTCACAAATATACACAACACTGTGCACAGGGAAGTGGGGGAGCTGTTGGAGTCATTGATACCCACACCAAATGAGCCTGTTTTCAACCCAGATGAATAAGAGCTGACGTTTTTAATTGTTAATATTAGAGTACTGATACCTAGCAGTTGCCTGCTGTCATACGGTAAGGATTAAATAGTGTGGCTTTCATTCATTTATCTAGGAAGCTATTGACTTCCTAGAGCAGACGTTCAGGAGTGGGAGAGAGACAAGCCCGTTAAGCACTAAACAACATACTATGTTAGTGACCATAGCAAATAAAATGGGCAAGGACAAATGGGGTTCTTGGGAAGCTCTTGCAGTTTTAATTAGTATTCAGAAGGACCTTTCTGAGAAGGTACCTTATTTTGCCTAAAGAATGAAGAAAGATCTGTCTCTTCCGTAACCAGAGAGGGCCATAAGTAAGGCAAGTACAAAGCCCTGAGACAAAGACTTGCTCTGGTTATTAAGGAATATCAAGGAAGCCAATTTGACTGGAATAGAGGCTAGAGAAAGCTATGGGAGATAAGTTTAGAGTGTGAAGAGAATGCCCGATGTGGTGGGCAGTATTGTGGGCTATTGTAAGGACCCCAGCCTTTTCTTTCAGTGAATTGGAAGCCACTGAGAAGTTTGAGGAGTAGCCACATGCTGAGTAATAGTTCAAAGGATCAATCTTGCTAATGAATTAGAAGAACTGAGGGCGATGTCATCAAAACATGGAGACAGAATGTTTTCTAATACTAAATAAGGCAAAGAGTAATTGTGACTTGGACCAGATTAACAGTAGGAGTGGAAGGAAGTAGATGTGTTCTGGAACAATGTAAAAGTAGAGCTAATGGGATTGTTGACACATTGGACACAAAGAATGTGAGTTATGATGCTAAGCCTTCTGGTCTCCCCAGGAGAACATGCAGTGGCTTTTAACTGTAACGGGGAACAACAGATTAGCAGGGAAGTGAAGCCAGTTTTGGAAATAGGAAGTTTGAGGTGCCCATTCACCATCCGAAATGGTAAACTGCGAGTCAAGAATTCAGTGGAGCCAGGCAGTGGCTCCTTTAATCCCAGCACTCACTCAGGAGGCAAAGGCAGGCAGATCTCTGAAACCCAGGAGAACCAAGACTACACAGAGAAACACTGTCTTGGGGAAAAAGAAAAAAGAAAAATTCAATGGAAATGTCTGGATTGAAAATAAAAATGTGGAATTCCAGCGAATAAATGCTGCCTAAGTCTGTGAGGCCAGATGAAATCAGAGGCAGTGAGTCTAAGCAGGAAGTATATGAAAGACTGAAGCTGTGCCCCTCAGGTTTAGAACAATGGAGACAAGAGAATTGACAGGAAAATTATGAGGAAAACTTAAAGTGTCACGTTCTGGAAGCAAGTCATCAGGAGGGAAGATGTGATGAGCGGTGTCACGTGTTAACCGGCTGCATTACGATCAGACAGGCCCGTGCTAACCCTACAAAAACACTTCAGAACGCTGATGGCGCCTGAGAGAAAAAAGAGACTTTGAGGAGATAAGTAGAGATGGTGTTTCGAGGAGGTTATCTGTAAAGAAAGTTAAGCCGTGAGACCCTACCTACCTAGAGAGGAAGGCCGGGTGAAGAAAGGGTTTATGTTGGCTGTCTTGGAAGTGGGAAATGAGAGGATTTTTCAGTAGTGATGATGACCATCCACTCCCCAAAGAGAGCATGTGTCAGTGAAAGCCCTTGAGAAGGGAAGGTATGCGAGCGCTGGTCCATGGCAGGAAGAGCACAGAAATTCCATCAGTAGGAATGTGGGACAGCCAGGGTGGGTGGATGGGACAGTGAGAACTTAGGTCAACTCCTGATTCCTCCTGCTGAGTCAAGGGTGCTTAAAGCCTCCCAAAAGCTGACAGCTACTACAAGTTTTGAACTCCAGCCATGTCTTCTAAGTCTGTGACGTTTATTTTTCCTGTTATCGGTCCAGAGATTGAACCCAGGGCCTTGGACAGGCAAGGCAAGGACAGCACTGTGTATTCAATTCTTTTATTCTACTGTATAGTGTTGTATTTAACCCCCCTCCCTGCCCCCGCTTCAGCATCTTGGCTTAACACCTACTTTTCCTTTAAGTTTTGGGGTAGATGTTGATTCTCAGGAACCATTCCTGATGCTACTCTCAGTCAGTCCCTAGTACCAGATGAAACATTGCTGTTGTTTTCACTGACTTCCTGGCCTCCACATATACTTAGCACACTCCAGCAAATCTCCTGTTTGTTTTTCTCCCTCCTTCTCCTGGACTTGAAGATTCCTTAGGGTGGAGTCCTGACTTGGCCATCACTGTATTTCAGAGCCTACCTTAACACTTTATATATAGTAAGATGGCTTCTATGATTATTTTCTTTGTGTTGGTGTTTTAAGTGGTACATCTCAGACATTATGTACATTCAGACTGTTGTTGAAGCTTCAACACTGTTCACTTACAGGATGTTTTTCATCATTCCAAACTGAAACTCCCTCCCTTAAAAATTGAGC